ATTTCCTAAAGTAATTAAAGTGTAAAGCAGTTTTCCTAGATTAAAATTTCTTTTTTAATTTTTTGAGAATACATTTTATTTTTTATAACCAAATTGATTGTTGGACCATATTAATATCCAATGAACATGATATGTTAGCTAGCAGCAGTTATTGAAAGAAAGACCTTTGTCGACTTTTTTAAGAAGGAAAAATGTATTTGAAATATAATATTGTAAAAATGTAATATTTGAACATGAAGATTGAATTTAATACGGATTCTAATTTATTTTACATCCTAATATTTACTTACATTTTCTCTTAGTTTTGCTTAAATTAACACAGGCTGATGCTTTTTCTTAAAAAAATCAATCCCACAACAACATGAAAAATTTGATGTATGTTTACATTTTTAAAATTATATATAACCAAAATTGAAATGAGCTTTGGCTCCACAAAGGGAAAAAATATATATCAGTCTAAGAAAACGTTCTTACAAACAGTGAATCTTTTTGGCTTTTATACTCGGGTCCTAAAACTTACAATACAGAGATTATAACATCGCCCAACAATTTGTGCTGACAGTGAACTTTTGACCATCACTCTACCTGTAAATGTTGTGTGTAGGTGTATTTAATTTGTGCAGTCACAAAGACTGAAAAGTGTTTACTCCGTCAAAGTCAGAGAGGAAAACAGCTTTTATTTCTCCCTTAAATATTTCATGTTGCATTGCAGTGGTTTGGAGTCTGTCACAAAAACGCACCAATCCATGAACACACAATTAATATCAGATCATTTATTCGCTTTCCTTTTCATTCTTAATTACTCCATTTCTTAATTCCCCCTGACACTGTCGTTGTGTTTATTGGAGGGTTTCAGGAATTCTGTTCTGTTCGATGGTGAGACATTTTTGATGGAGCCAAAAACTGTGAAAGCTTTTTGCTTGGAAAGAGCTTCTTTGTGTGCTTATGAACCGTGTACTTGGCCCACTGTTCTTATTCTGCTGTGTGTCTCTCTTTGAAATGAAATTTCTCAAACATCCCTACTTATCAAAAGGCTTTTGTACAAGGAAGCCCATTTTGATCAGACTTCCTCAGTCCAATCTACTTCAGTCCTTTGTGTGTGTGTGTGTGTATGTGGGTGTGTGTGTGTTAATCTTGCTTTACTTTATCCTGCAAATCAGTTTTGATTTAAAATTCTTATGGAGGTTAAATAGATTTTTTTGCAGTTATTTGTCACTATAACCAATTTAATATTTTTCCCCAAAAGGTAGTCATTAAATTATGTTTCTACCTTGAAAGCACTTTGATAAAAATTCTTTAATTTTATATTGGTTACATTGTTTATGTTGGTTATTTTTAATGCGGTTGGTTTATCAAAATAGTTTTCGAATTATTCAAAATGCATTAAAAACAGCAGCAGTGTTTAAAATTAAATGAATTTATTGATTCCCACAATTTGTATGTTTTGTCATTACGCGGTGCTAAAAGAAGCTTTATCTTGTGGTCATGTTGGAGATTAAAAGT